AATTGAAAATGAATTTGGGGTTTAGAATAAAATTAAGGACTGTGTTGCAAGTTTTAAAAGTTGAGGGATCTAAATGCAAGCACCTGAAAAGTTCAGTGACCATATTGCAAATGTACTAACGACAATATAACATCGGGGATCATATTGCAAACAGAATAAATGTTGGAGGACTGTATTGCAAGTTTTAAAAGTTGGGAGACCTAAATGAAAGTTTTAGAAAAGTTCAGTGACCATTACTTTACTTTACCCTAAATAAATTAAGGTTTGCAAGTTGGCTCACCTGGATGTGGGCCACCCTTCCCATATGCAATATTCCATTTGGACCCAAAATTAAAAATCTCCAGCCGAACTCTAAAAAACGCACCGCCACTTTGGTATTTTAGCGACGGAAAGAGGATTAAAGAAACACCCCAACTAAAGAAGAATGCGTTAAGTAACGCAACGCGTCATCTATCTGTTGTCCCATCATCATTCCTTTTACTCATGTAGATATCAAAGCCTATTTGCATTGTCTCCATGTCATGCTTTTTAATTTTTGGGTAAATTACACCAATCATCACTGAATTTTACTTTCTCTCCTCTTTTATTTACTTTACTTTAAATCTATTCAATTTTCTCACTCAGTTAAACACAATTAACATTTTTAATCACTTACTCATTTTCTCACAAAATGACGTTATAAATGAGTTGTTATATATATGCAAAATGAAATCTTTTGGGGAAAGTTTTGTTTTTTTAAATGGTGTCGTTTTAACACTGTTAAATATTTAACGACTGAGTGATTAAAAATACTAATTATTTTAAATTTAATGAAGAAATTAAAAATGAATCCAAGTTACGGTGAGTAAAATAGGAGATAGAGTAAAATTTACCGGTGATCGTTATAATTTACCTAATTGTTTTTAGAAAAATTTGAGAAGATATCATTCTAAGCTTATAGCGTCTAATTGAACGTTGAATTTGCAACCAATTATAAAATGCAACTAACAAACATAAATAATTTAATAAAAATGATCAACTAACTCAGACAGAAACTAGAAAGGGCGGTCGGTTATGCTTCTTCTCCTTCAACCTCTAGCCATCGTCTTCCATTTCTATCTCTCGTTTCTCAAATAGCTACCTTTTGTCCTTTGGATCTCAAATCTTTAATCCCTTTTAGCTGAGGAATTCTGGGTTTCCTTTGTTTTTTTCCATTTGTTATCAAAGATCAAATCTTTTCCTTCTCTGAACTTGGTTTAGACTCTCCATGAGGAACTCAATCACCATTTTCGCCTCCTTGCTGCTTCTCTTTCAACTCATCTCAGCCGCTGAATATGTACCAACCGAGAAAATCCTCCTAAACTGCGGCGAAAAATCCGAGCTACCCGACAACGATAATCGAAAGTGGACGCCGGATAACGGGTCCAAGTTCCTTGCCGGAATCGGCAACTCAGTCGTTTCTCAAGTTCCGTACTTGACGGCCCGCGTTTTCCGTTCCAACTTCACCTACAGTTTCCCGGTGATCGCCGGCCGGAAATTCGTAAGATTATATTTCTACGCTAATTCATACGACGGCCGAAATGCAACCAGTGCTTTGTTTTCGGTCACCAGCGGTTCCTTTACTCTGCTCAAGAATTTCAGCGCCGCTCAAACGAGTGAAGCTTTGAATTATGCTTTCGTCGTCAAGGAATACTCCATTAATGTCGATGGCGAGTTTTTGAACTTAACGTTTAGTCCCTCTTCCAGTAACGCGTATGCGTTTGTGAATGGAATCGAGGTATTGTCAATGCCTGATATTTACAGTAATCTTGACGGTGTACCGGTCGTCGGTCAACAAGCTCCGTTCACCATAGATAACACCACGGCTCTGGAGAATGTTTATCGGTTGAACGTCGGCGGAAACGATATCTTGCCCTCCGGTGATACCGGTCTTTTCCGGTCTTGGTATGACGATCATCCTTACCTTTTTGGTGCTGCCTTTGGTGTTTCTGCATCTGCTGATCCGAATGTCACCGTCGATTACGGGACGATTCCGACGTATATCGCTCCGACGAGTGTTTACACAACGGCGAGATCGATGGGGCCGAATGCTCAAATAAACGATATCTACAATTTGACATGGCTATTCAGCATTGATCCTGGATTCTCTTACTCGGTGAGGTTACATTTCTGTGAATTTCCTGATAAGATCAATCAGAGAGTGTTTGATGTTTTCCTCAATAATCAAACGGCCGAGCAAGGCGTTGATGTGATCGGCATGGCGGAACAAGTCGATGTTCCATTGTATAAAGATTATGTTGTGGTTGTTCCCGGTGGGAATTCTCAGCAGGATCTTTGGCTTGCGCTGCATCCGGACAAGACTAACAAGCCTCAGTATTATTATGCAATCTTAAACGGTGTGGAGATATTCAAGGTAAATGATCCGAACAACAACCTTGCAGGGCCTAATCCGACCCCTGGTCCTAAACAGGACGCGGTGGACCCGTCGTTGGCTTTGCCGTCTAATACAGGTCGTTCTAAGAACCGGACGGCCATTGTTGCCGGGGGAGTTTGTGGTGGAGTGGTCCTGATGCTTGTAATCGGTTTCTGTGTTTTCGTTGCTTTGCGTCGTCGTAGGCATGGGAAGTACACAAGCACAAGTGATGGTCCATCAGAGTGGCTTCCTCTTTCATTGTATGGAAATTCGCATTCTTCAGGCTCGGCCAAGACGACTACCACCGGGAGCTATGCTTCCTCCCTGCCTTCGAACCTTTGCCGACACTTCTCGTTCTCTGAGATCAAGGCTGCCACAAATAACTTTGATGATGCTTTGCTCCTTGGGTTGAGAGGTTTTGGCGAAGTGTACAAGGGTGAAATTGATGGTGGGACGACTAAAGTAGCAATCAACGGGACAACCCGCTATCAGATCAAGGTGTACATGAGTTCCAGACTGAGATCGAAATGCTTTCGAAGCTCCGCCACCGTCACCTTGTTTCGTTGATCAGCTACTGTGAAGAGAAAGGTGAGATGATCCTAGTGTATGACTATATGGCCTATGGAACGTTGCGTGAACATCTATACAAAACACAAAATCCCCCTCTTCCATGGAAGCAGAGGCTCGAAATATGCACAGGGGCTGCTCGCGGTTTGCACTATCTCCACACTGGTGCGAAAAACACGATCATTCACCGTGATGTCAAGACAGCAAACATTCTTCTCGATGAAAAGTGGGTAGCGAAAGTTTCTGGTTTTGGCTTGTCGAAAACCGGCCCTACATTGGATCATACTCATGTGAGCACTGTAGTTAAGGGTAACTTTGGCTATTTGGATCCTGAGTACTTCAGGCGGCAACAGCTAACCGATAAATCCGATGTTTACTCATTCGGGGTCGTCCTGTTCGAGATCCTTTGCGCTCGTCCAGCATTGAATCCCACGCTGCCAAAGGAGCAAGTGAGCCTTGCAGAATGGGCACCACATTGTCACAAGAAACGCATCCTTGACCAAATCATGGACCCTTATCTCAAAGGAAAGATAGCACCAGAATGTTTCAAAAAGTTTGCCGAGACCGCAATGAAATGCGCGTCCGATCAAGGAATCGATCGACCGTCGATGGGTGATGTGCTGTGGAACTTGGAGTTCGCCTTGCAACTACAAGAGAGCGCAGACGAGAGTGGCAAGGGAATCAGTGGAATGGACATCGAGGACGGGATGTACGACGACATAACATGTAAAGCCAAGAAAGATTGTAACGCATCACCCGGTTTCGTTGGTAATGTGACCGATTCAAGGAGTAGCGGAATGAGTACGAGTATGAGCATCGGCGGTCAAAGCCTAGCTAGTACCGACTCCGACGGGTTAACACCGAGTGCTGTTTTCTCACAGATCATGAACCCGAAAGGGCGTTAACCTAGCACATTCGACATTGGCAATGGCCATGACAAGAGCCATAGCCATCATTGGAATCCATTTTTTTTAATTTGTTGTATTCATTTGATCTATTAGTATGCATTTGTTTTGGTCAAAATCAGATGTTGCGCTAAATGCAAAAGTAAATGGGTGACATCGGAACAATACAGCTACTTGGCCTCCATATTAGGGATGGCCACGGTATTCATATCCGACGGGTTTCGATCCGATCAGTTCAGATTGGATTAAAAAAAATAAGTTCGGGTCGGTTCTAGTTGAGTTTTTTTTATGTATATAAAATATTCGAAGCGGATCTGGTTCGAGTTTAGAATAAAAATATTTGACCTAATTCGATCCGAAAAATAATATAAATTTACTTTATATATTCAGAGATAGTTGTAATAATAACCCTGTGTATATAATTTTTTCAATTAGATCCCTATTTTTATTGAAAATATAATATTTTTATAAATATATTTATTTCAAGTAGGGTTAGGTAATATCTCAAAAAATTAGATCGGGTTCTAGTCGGATTTCGAGTGGAGACTATATTTTTTGGTCGGGTTGATAAAAAACATGACCCGACCCATTCCCATCGCTGAATTTTCGTATAACTTGCACCACACCATCTTGTTTAGGTCTCGACTCAAAAAAATTGAGGCGATCAAATTGACAAATACTATTTTATAACTCAAATTTTATTTAAATTTTTTTGGTATCAAGTCAAATTATTCGAGTTTTTATTTAAATTTAGTTATAAATATTTATGACATCATTATACTAAATGATTTTTTATAATCATATACAATATACATATATATTTCTTCATATTTTTTATATATTATACACATATCATTTCTTTATAATCATATACAATATACGTATTTGTATCCAAAAAATACAATATACATATATATTTCTTCATATATTTTTATATATTATACACTTGAATTTCTTTTCAAGTCGAATTTATAAATTTACAAATCGAGTTAAAAAAATATTTTTTCGAATCAAATTTTTCCCACCCCTAATACACTTCCATGATCCAACTTTCATGTATACAATTCCATATAAATATTTTAGATTTATCCCAGAAAAGCTCTTGTATTTCGGATGAGGGCCATGCAACCAGAACAAGAACCAAAAACTACAGCATTCATTCATACAAAGACCTGTTGCTCATTGATTGTCCATTTTCCATTCTTGTAAGCATGGAAATTATAAATTTAAATCGGGACAAAATGATTTCATAACAATAGCCAGAACATTCAGCACGATCATAACAAGTTTTGTTTTACTTGGAACGCAAGGTGCTCGGTAATCGTATCTCCGACGCCGAATGTATAAACACCATGACAAATTCCTTTACGAAAACATAATCCCTGTTCCGAGAACAAGATAGAAGAACGGTAAAACATCTGATGACGTACAAAACCCGTAGGTATCAAATGCTAACCACCATCAACCCATTGCATACTTCTGGGTCCAGCTGCGTGCAGTAGCTTCATAATTGGCCCGGTCATTCTTATACATGTGAGCAATCTCAGGAACAAGAGGGTCATCGGGGTTAGGATCAGTCAACAATGAGCATATAGAAAGCAGAACCTGATTTGCACTCGAGTTAGTATTTCTATAAGGCATTACTATTTTGAAACAAACTCTACTGATTTTGACCAAATTTACTTAAAATTCCAATAAGCACCAACAGCGGTAGCAGAGTCGATGCAAGTAAGGACTAGTGATACTAATAGAACGGTTCGTTGTTGAAAGCGATGTAAGGTGTATATATATTCCCAGTGAGATATATTTGAATTTGATGAAGGAGAGTCTTTGGGTCGTGAATTATGATATTTATCATTCAATCTCCTGACATAAAACTAAACTCACAAAATAAAAGCAGTGAATGGTTCAAGTTGATGCGCATGCATCCAGATTCAAATGAATCTCACTGGGAATGAAAGCCGAAACGTACTAGAATTACCATATGATATTAATCGGGGTATGGTCAAACCTTGGAAATGGTTAGTGCAGGGCTCCATTGTTCTTTTAGGATATCAAGACAAATGCTCCCGTTGCTATTAATGTTTGGATGGTAGACCTTGGTCTTAATACAACCTAAAAAAAATCGGCATCATCCATTAAAAGAGTATATTACCACTAAAAAGTCTTCACACATACCACGAAGGGGTACGGTATAGTACCTTAGGAGGCTTGAACGGATAATCCGGAGGAAAATGAATATTAACCAAAAATACACCTCCTGCATAAGGGCTATCAGAGGGGCCCATAATTGTTGCTTGCCAATGGAACATGTCTTCTGCTACAGGACCTATCACAAACAATGCAAAGCACTCGAAGGTTATTAAATAACATCCATCGATGCATATGACCATTAACAATTATCCTTTTGTTAACTAAAAGAAAAGGAAGAATGCATGCTCACAACCTTACAACACACTCACAATAATAAGATTCACAAGTGATACCATATCACCCAAGAAGTGTCATATATGCCTTAGATTATTACAACAAGGGTCCGGACCCCACCAAACGCAAACAATTTAGTTTTTTTGGTGGGCTTGCCTGTGGCTATCTCAACCCTTGTAGCACCCTCTTCAGGAGTACGGTAGACCAACTCCCGAGACTAAAACTGAGCACATACGCCCTATGAATACAGTACCGATTGTTGGGGGTTTGACCGGATGTTAGACAGACGGTGCTTCACAACCTTCCCCAAAGGATTCGGAAGATCCCTCGACAATAATGGTTCGCAAAAATAGCAATGAATTGTAATCCAAAAACACCCTCAGACCTAACTACCTAAGAGAGAGTCGCGGCTTAAAAGCCACTTAACTATACCCAAGAATCAACACAAGCTCTCTATTTTCTAATCAGATGGAAAGAAACATTTTTACCATAATGGTCAAAGAACACTACAAAGCATCCCAATCAAATAAGTTTCGGATACACCAAGCATTCATGAGAAGAAAGTTTCAGAGATAAGAACCGAGATCAGATAAAAGCAAGCTTTTGTGTGCAAATATAATACCCAAAAAATTGGATAGTGACCAAAAAGAATAAAATAAAGTTTGGTGGCTAAAGTATAAACTTGAAAAAGATCAGGGGCTAAAATGAAAATTTTCAAAAGTATATATTTTCTTCCCGTAAATGAATAGTTATCCTTCATAATAACGTTTTGGTGTCACTCAGACTTTTAGTACGGAGTTTGTGTTAAAATCTATAAAGGGTAAAAGTTTAAATAATCGGATCGAATCAAAAATTCAGGAAATTTTGCTAGATTATAGGGCGAAAAATGTCTTTTACAAATTTAAAAATCATAAGATTTAATGTAGACCATTGGATTTAAGTTTATTTCCATATTAAATCTGAACCATTGGATTTAATTGTAATTTTGGAACTTTACAGGGACAAAGTTGGTAACTACTAACTTCATGGTTTAACTTCAGCCCTTGGATGATAAATTTGACATGTGGAATGATTAGGAACATTGGATCTTAAAAAATAAAGTAGTCAATTTGGATTAAAATGAATTTTAAATTAATTTAAGTTATAAAAATCCAAAAAAGACTAAAATAAAAGGAAAATTAATTCAAGAAAGTTATTGAAATCCCCCTGCTGCTGTCGTGACCTTCCTAAAACACCAAGGTAAGTTTTGAATTTGATTTTCAAGGCTTTTTGGTTAGATTTAAGCTTAAGACATGAAATACAATTTTATTCTCCATTAAATTCTCTTTCATTTGGTACCATTTGTTCATGTAGTTCATGCTTATAACCCTAAATTTATGAAAAGGGTAAACGAAGGGTGATTGAATTTGATGTTTTAAGGCTTGAAAATGATGAAATAAGTGTTGTGATGTTGATTTAATGTTTAAATGATGAAAAATCCATTAGTTTTCCTTTAGGGATCAATTAAAAAAAATGAAAAGTTAAAGGGTGACGTTTTGAATCGATTTTTACGTTAGATATGATGAGAACATGATGTTGTATGTCTTAGCATGTTTATTCAAACTTGGAAATGAGGAAGAGTGATTGAATCCTAATAGTGACCAAAATGACACCTTAAGAAAAGTTTAAGAATTATATTTTAAACTTGAAATTGATAAAGGTTATGGTAGAAATTTAATACATGCCTAAAGAAGTTGTTTAAGGCTTAAAATCACCTTGGATGACGATGGATTATATTCGGTCATATGGGTTTTTAAGGAAAAAATTATGGAAAAATTCAAAGTGACTTATTTATGATATTTATTATCTTTCAAGGTTTGATTTGGTGAGATTTGAATTGTGAAATTTCTATGATTAGTCCTTAAAGCCTAAAAGAGAAAACATTGAGGTGAAATTGTGGTTTTAAAATTGAATTCAAGAAAGTTAAAGGTGAAAATAAAATGTTGGAAACATTATAATTACAATGTTACATTGAATTTTATAAATTTTTCCTACCCTATATGCTCATGGGTTGGATGGATACTAACATGTGCTTTTGATTATTCATGTTTTATGTTTGATGTATTTATAGACATCAATCAAATCCGAGATCAAACTAGAAACAAAGGAAAGGAAACGGGTCAAGCTTAAAGTAGTGAGACTTATATTTTGACTTGTATATAAAAGTGTCGAGATGAGTGCAATGCATACATAACATGATACATGGATGTTTTATACATCATTAGAAAGACTTGCGATGAGTTTACCTTGTTCATAATGACATGATATTAATGTCATTTATCATATATTTGACATGTTCTAAATATCAAAAGTTGAATATAAATGCATGAATCACTAGTTTATATATGATATTTATCATGAATGTTATTTCGGGTATGAATTGTCCAATGCTGAATTATGTTGATACACATTGTCATAGATGAAATAAATATAGGCTATATGTCCAAGTATGTCATTGAGGGGCAGTGCTACGATTGGCATGCCATAGAGTCTAGCAGTAGGCTACTTATTTGATTTAGCACTATAGTGTATATAAAGGACATTTAGCGCATATGGTGGGCACGACCTTATGTGTAATATGATGGACACAACCTTATGTGTATTATGGTGGGAATGACCTTATGTGTATTAGCACTTCGATGCGTATTTTGACTCGTATACCCAGAGTTCTCATAAGCTTATATTTAGGATATGATTATTGGTTAATAAATGATAAACATGTGAATAAGCATATGGGCTTTTAGGAATGAATGACAAGTACATTAATAAGAAATTTTATATGTGGTTTATATCATATTAATATATGATAACATGATTGAAATACATGTAAAGTGATCATAATGCATTGAATATTGTTATTTATTTATATTTATGCGTTGTATTGCATCGACTATTACTATGATTGTCTCACTAAGTATATACTTAGCATTTGATGGTTTTCATGCGTAGGTAAAAAAGCAGGAATCAAGGTAAGGAGTACCTGGCATCCTACTTATTGAAGAGTATATCTATAGTATCAGTAATGACATCTATCTAATGTATTTTGATTTTACTAGTTGGCATGTATATGTTAGTAATGGATGATCATAAACTAGTTTAAACTTAGTTGTGGTAGTTTATAAACAAGTTTATGTTATTAAAATGAATGATGGATAGTTATATTAGTGTTGAAAATGATTAAATGAATTACAAGTATAATATCCGGTAAACAAAAGAATAAAAATGGAGAAATCAATTAAGGTTGAATTTGGGCCATTATAATTTTTTTATTTAGTTATGAACTACTAAGTTGTTACTTAAATCGAAATTAGTTTGATTAAAAAAATAAAAATTGATATTACTCGATAAATCAATATATGGTTAATTGTAATTTTTGAATGAATAACTTCTAGTGAATTAGTTTGATTAAAAAAATAAAAATTGATATTACTCGATAAATCAATATATGGTTAATTGTAATTTTTGAATGAATAACTTCTAGTGAATGTTAGTAAATTAGTGTGTGACATTCTTACTCGTATTTAGGAATTTAATACGAGTAAGGGTGTTTCAGCAAATATATAATTATAAAGCAATCTTTTAATCGATTCATTCATAAACTAAAACAAACGACGCAATTGGGGAAAATGAAAGGGTGCTCTGATCATACATAACCAAAAACACAGCACACAAAACTCAACATCAAATAACAAAAAGCAAGTATTAAATATATAGAAATTGAGATGATACCTGCACTGCAAGAAGTAGGTGGATCCTTCTGCAAATCCTTGAGTTCCTTCAAAATCCGCTTTGAAGCCATGACGGTTGAATAGAATAGAAAACAAGGAATCTACCTGGGCTTGAGCCTCGAGAACCAAAAATAAACAACAAAAAGAGCCATCTCGTACAAGAAAATATATGGAATTGATAAGGAAGAAGAAGGTTGCAGGTAGGGAATACCTCAGAGAAAAGCGAGAGAAATTGTTGGGGGAAAGAGAACCCTTGCTTTTGCAGACTTCAAAATTGGATCCCTGCCTTCAACCCACAACTGCTTCTTCTCCACCCGCAATCCCTTGATTTTACACTTCAAATATTAATCTCGAAGTCCAAGTGATATGCCTTCACCACCGACGCTTCAGACTCCTCTCTCGTTTTTATTTGAGTAAACTACGTATTTAGTTCCTGAATTATCAGTTTTGATCTGTTTTAGTATTTAAACTTTCAGTTTTTCAAATTATACCTAAAATTCAGTTTTTGATTCATTTTAGTACCCCATTCAAAATTTAACGTTAATATTGAAAAAATTGAAAGTTTAGGTACCAAAAATGATAGTTTAGGTACTAAATGTGTTAAAATTTTAATGACGGGTACTGAAATGAAATGAAAACTAAACATAGGTATGATTTTTGAAAAATTAAAAATTTAAGTACTAAAACAAATCAAAATTGATAGTTTAGGTACTAAATATGTAGTTTACCCTTCCTTTTTTATTTTTGGAGTTAACTTAGTCACACATCCCTAAACTATAACCCTCATTTCAACTTGGTCCTCAAATTTTGAACATTCTAATTTCATTCCTAAATAATTCTTTTGTTTTAAATTAGTCCTTAAACTTTTGAATATTTTAATTTCATCCTCAAACTATGACTCTCATTCTAAATTTTAATATTTAAAATTTTAGATATTATTTTAAAATAAGAATCATAGTTTTTTTAATAATGTTTGGGCGAAAAATTTTGATTCTAATGAATATTGAACTCACAACCTAAAAAGAGAGAAGATGTCAACTAATAGTTTTTGACAATTTGTTCTAGAGATCATTGATAATAAAAATCATAGTTTAAATATATATAATAGGATTAACTCTTATTTTTTCGGTAAAGTGTAGTTGAAAATAATCTTTTGATCATTAATTAATTAATTAATTGATTTTGATATAACTGTACCAAAACACTTTAGTTATTAATATTATTTTAAATCAGATAATTTTATTGTCATAGTTATTTCGAATCAATAATACAATCTTCGACTAATGGGTTAGCTTAAGTAGTAAGCAAATAGATATCATTTAAGCACGTCTCGAATTCGAGTTTTTATATATGTAAAATGTTCTCGTTAAAAAAATAACTCGTAAAAATTAGATATACGATATAGGTTAAGGTCTCACGATGTAGAGTACATCGTAGCGTAACATAACATTATGTTAAAGATTAAATGGAAGTCGGGCATCGTCTTGAATGGTGCTGGTTTGAGCATTGATGGCTAAACATAGCAGAAGATTCTGGACTAGATCATCGTATTAGGTTTAAAGTACAATGAACGGCATTTTCTATCCCACTCTACTGTACTAGCACCAGTAGATCTTAATATGCTGTATATGCTATATTATACTACATGTTTATAATAAATGTAATCTGATATCTAGATCTTGAAGATCTAATCTTATTGAGTAGACCATGTCGAGTGAGAGCTTATATTCTAAGATGTGCTTTTGATACTTAATAAGAGGAAAGCGCATGATGTATATTTGATCTGATCTTATAAGATCGTTTTTTTTAAATCAGTTTGGGTCGAGTAAAAATTTTAAAGGATAAGGTTGTTCAAATTTAAGGTGAAAAATATTTGACCCGATTCGATCAGAAAATAATAGTATAATTAATTTTCTATGTTTAGGGTTAATTTTCTCCTAATTTAACAAACATTCAAGTTTTAAATTAGGGGAGGGTACATGATAACATCGCCATCAAATACAAATTACGAAAGGAAGATAATGGTGACAAATGGGGTAATGTAAATCTCCCACGTACAACTAGCTTCGTCTCCATTTGGCATTGGCATTGCTGCACTGAGTGAGTATTTTATTTTATTTTTTAACTGGAGCCTATTTGGGCCTATTATTACACTTAGTACTAATACGATGCGTACACCAGACTGACGAGTAAAGATTCAGCAACCGCAGCACCACCGGCTTAAATCTCAAATCACGAATCACAAGAAAAGCTGTCACAGATACCGGAATCTCAATAATAGCGGTTTCCGTTAGCCGTTAGAGAGCGGAGGCAACTAAATTGACGGAGTAAAAACAGCTGCTCACCGTGTCTCTGCATCTGCACTGAAATTCGTGAATAATATAGTTATTTTGTTTAATTTTCCAAATTAGAACAATAATCATCGCCGCATTGAAGTTGAGGGAAGGAAGGAAATGAAAGGTGGTGGTGGAGTCGGTCCCGCGAAGCGGCGATGGAGAGGTCTGGCCTTTGGCGTTCTCTTCCTTGTGATCTTATCAATGCTGGTTCCCCTTGGATTCTTGCTTGGCTTACACAATGGATTTCACTCTCCAGGTGCCTGTTACCAAATCTTTTAGATCTGCTTCCGATTAGGTCACTGTATGCAATCGTGAGTCGGATTTGTAGATCTAGATTTCACTCGGTCTTTTTCTTTAGCAATTTGAACCAGATCTCTGATTGTACTCACTCATCTATGCTCTAGTCGTTTTCATTTGTGCTTTACCTATGCCTGCAGGATTTGTGCCTCTTCAACACAATTCACCTTCTGTAAGTAGTTTATTTTTCCTGATTCTAATGCAAATGTATTATTTTATCCAGAAAATAGCGAAACATCAAGTTAAAGTAGTAAATGTGCTAATCAATTTTTATCTTCTGAGGAAATTGTTTAGTCGTAATAATTAGTGCTTTGAATTTTCTTATAGGGGGATCGTACAAGACATGTAGATAACCTTGTGAGAAAATTAGGACCTACTCTACCAAAGGTTGGTTTTTCATTATGCTCCTTTATTTGTGTATTGTTTCTGAAATACGATGCTTTGAATTTTTATCATATATAATTGGTGTTGATGAGGCTTGAATTTTTTTGCAATGAAATTATACGATGATGATCAAGTTGCTATATTCTTGTGTTAGCTGTAGATTGTTTGAGGATATACATTGGGTTTATTGTAGATCGATTTACAGAAATTAGGACATGTTTTCTTTTGGCTTAAGTACTGAGAATTGGTCTCATAAGTCTTACCAATTACTCAGACTTAAGACATAAAATACTTGCTGGCATCTAAACTTCTAGTTTCAAAATTTACCTATCCCAGTCCTTGCACGATTTCCTTTTTCACCAAGACTATAGATGCTATGGTCAAGGAATTGACATAGCACTAATATTATTGTATTGTGTTCTGTAATCAATGAACGATACTAAGAGAAGTGGGTATGGAAAATGAAGTTAATTTGAGACAGATAAGACAAAGGTAGAATAGAACCTTTTTTCACCTCTTGATTGGTATCTTTATTGTGCATCAACAAAATGAAATGAACAAACTTTTTAACTGTATGATCAAAAACCTCAATAATTCAGTCTTATTTCAAATAGAATAGATTTATGTTTGGTTCTCTATGCTTGTGTCTCTTATTATGGTGCTGTAACTTCATTACTTATCATCGTTCTTCACCTGAGTTCTTCCAAGTTCCAAAGTCTCACTTGAATAGAAATTTCACATGCAAAAACTCCATAAAGTGTTCATTTTTCTTCTTATTACACTTTTATTGCAAACTAATCACTGGCTTTTTTTATCTTTGATAACTATTAATGCCTAAACAAAAGAATCCAAGCAAGAATGAAACAAAGAATTAAATATTTTGGTTTGGGGCAAAAACCTCCAATATGCCATAAATGGAATCTCAACAGCAGAACTATAAGTTTATCATTTTATCTGAGACTTGCTTATGATTAAAGTATAGGTTTGGGGCATACCATTCTTCTTGAAACCCAATATTCAGGGTCAACTCAGAGCTTTTTTCTCAATGGGCAGGAAATAAGTTTTTTTTCTTCAAATGAAACAACATTAATAAGCAAAAACTATGATTTGGCATATTAATTCTGGGTAGTAGGTTCTGTACTTTGCTTCTAGTGTGCTAGCTTTAGAGGGCTTCTGCTCTGACCTTCATTTTTCCCTCATCTTGAATCCTTTTTTTTATCATTTAATAATTTGGAGAAATTGAAATTTGCCGCCATTAGTAGCAGTGTCTGCCATATTCTGCATCTGTTGAGTGTGAAGGTCACTATATGGCCTAAGGGTATCATCTATCTTTGCTAGTATATACTCTGGGTTTGTACTAAAAAACTTGTGGTTATATAATATGTTCGCTAATTATTGGGGATTAAGATATTGGATAAAACACTCATTTTGTAGTCTATATCATTTTAGCAGTTGATCCCATAGTTTTAGGCTCTTACGCATTAACACATGTTTTTCGTAGCATCTCCTCCATCTATCCATTAATATGTAATCTAATGTGAATACCTTAACTTGTTTTTACAGTTATCAGTTAACCACATTAATAATAGTGCTCAACTTTATGTGTTATGTTATTAAGGTACACATATTCCAAGTTACTTGTGGCTCCTGATTAGGCTAGCAAAATTACCTCATATGGTTTTGTTTGATAATGATCTTTACAACCATAATACAGTAGTCTATGTCTGTATGTCATATTCGCATTTAACTCTTTCTTTTCACTTTAGGATATTCTTAAACACATTGTACATGAAGCTAAAAATGAAACCAGCAGTACAAGTGCCACACGTAAAAGTTATCAGAAGAAAGGTATGGTTGAACTCATTTTTCTTAACTGTACGTTGGATGATTAACCAATCCCTTCTATTAAATTTTGGTTGGAACATTTTTTAATGTTCAACAGGTATTACAATTCCGCCTCAAGTTGTGATGCAACCACACAGCAATAAGAATGTATGCATATTCTCAAAAGTTTGTTACATGCTATTCGGTAAATTCTTTTAGTACTATATAGCATCTCTATAAATAATTTGATTTTCTCTCGCAGGTTAGGAAAGATAGTGGCAAAGCAGGAAAGGAAGGTGGCATTGATGGAAGTGTGGAATTATGTGAGTTGAAATATGGGAGCTACTGCATTTGGCAAGAAGAAAATAGGGAAGACATGAAAGATTCCACAGTGAAGAAATTGAAGGACCGGCTTTTTGTAGCCAGGGCATATTTTCCTAGTGTTGCAAAAATGGCAGCCCAGAACAAGTTGTCTCGTGAACTGAAACAAAATATTCAAGAACTAGAGCGTGTCCTTAGTGAAAGCACTACAGATGCGGATCTTCCTCCAGGGTAAGTTATGGTGCATCATTCACTACTTCATAAAATTCCATGAATAAGGCCAACTACTCCAGTTTGATACTGTGAGGATACTGATTCATTTACTAACTAGAAATGTTAGTTTACAATGAAATACTGTACTCCATTTCAAATTGAACATTTGAACTTCCACTAGCAAGAAGCTTTAGGAATGAGGTAATTGTCCTTTCCAACTTTTATCCTTCAAGTGTCGGAAAAACTAGAGGAGCCACCTTAAGTTAGTATTTCACCAGAAGGAAACATTGGAAAAATGTATTTTCATTTAGGGAAACTAGACACTTTATTGAAGCCGGGAATGAAAAAAATTGGGAAGTTTCACACAGATGCAATATTTGGACAATTTGTTCTTTTGCAGTCTGATCTGTTTGTTCATTTTCTCTCCTTTATGCTGCTTTTGTCCTGATGCAGGAGTAGGGGCTCTATCTTGTAGCTTACTTAGATCTAGCATTTACTAATTGGGTGCCATATCTTGTCCAGAAGTACTATTCCGTATGGGGTGTTTATCTTTGTTCATCTGATATTTTAATGTGTTGCTTTGGGTAGAACTATACCATATTTCTATAATATCTGGTAAATTAATATAACCTCAGCACATTAGAGCAAGGTTCGTATATATTACTCTGACTCATTTCTCTTGGAAAGTATCAGTGTCCAACACATGTCGGGCACATATTTGGACGTGGGGATGGGGGTATGAGTATGACCCTGGGAAGATCTTCCAAATACATTGAAGAACTTAGGAAATTGAACATACCTATGTCATATGCACACTTGTATCCGACATTCTTACTTGATTCTGAGTTACATAGCTTAGTTTTGATTTACTTGGGTGTTGTTTGATGAACTGAAAAAATTAATTGCTGAAATAAATTATAAATTTGTTTGGTATTTTACTTAAAATTAAATACCGGATATAATTAGATTGTTTGATAAATATAAATTTTAAAATATAATATAGTTAAAAGAAATAAAAAGTGTTGAAAATATTCTACATTAAGTGAAAAGTAGGTTCTTGTCTACTTTAACATGTTCCACATTTTTTCATTTAAAAAATTATAACAGACAGGTTTAATTTTAGATTATCAAACATGCTCAAAATATTAAATCATTGAAATTATAAATTTTCAAAGAACCCCCCCAAAGTCTTTCCTTTTGGTAGATTGGTTGAGTAAATAGCGGTCACAGTAATCTTATGTTATTTTGAATGCTCATATTTCATGCTTGAGCACAAAGTATATTTTATTGGTTTGTATCAGGATTCAAAAGAAGTCGGCAAGAATGGAAGCTGCAATAGCCAGAGCCAAATCAGTCACTGCAGATTGTAATAATGTTGACAAGAAATTGAGACAAATTTGACCTAACTGAGGATGAAGCTAATTTTCACATGAAGCAGAGTGCCTTCCTCTACCAACTTGCGGTCCAGACGATGCCCAAGAGCCATCACTGCCTATATATGAGACTAACTGTAGAATATTTCAGAGACGATTCATTTGATAAAGAGCTGACAGAAAAATTCTCTGATCCCACATTACAACACTATGTTATATTCTCCAGTAACGTCATTGCATCATCAGTTGTAATAAACTCAACTGTCATGCATGCAAAGGTATGTGTTAGTCTTTCTTTGATATCATGTCATTGTTCTATGTCTGAATTCTACTGGCTGGACTGACTGGTTATCCTGCAATATTTCAGGACAGTACGAACCAGGTTTTTCACGTGCTGACTGATGGACAGAATTACTATGCAATGAAATACTGGTTTCTCAGGAATACATTCAAGGATGCTGTGGTTCAGGTTTTGAATATTGAACAGCTTATTCTGGATTACTCCGATAAAACGACTCTATATCACCTCAACTCACCTCTGGAGTTCCGAGTTTCCTTTCACAACAGTGGCAAAACACCAGCAATCCATAACAGAACACAATACATATCCATCTTTTCTAATTCCCACTATCTTCTCCCTGAGGTATTCAAAAACTTGGAAAAAATAGTGATTCTGGATGATGATGTTGTCGTCCGCCAAGACTTGTCAACACTCTGGAAATTTAACATGGGACAGAAACCGATGGGTGCTGTCCAAATTTGCTCTGTGAGATTGGGTCAGCTGAAGAGTTATTTGGGCGAAAGCAGCTTCAACGAAAATTCATGCTCGTGGATGTCTGGATTGAATGTAATTGATCTGGTTAGGTGGAGAGAACTAGGCATTTCTGAAACCTACTGGAAGTTGGTAAAAAAGGTAAGTGAATGTAATGTAGATAATATCTCGTATCAGTTCAATTACATGTGCAACACACTGTTTAAAAATGACATTAATATTGCACGACTGTATTCAACCTCTATCCTAAATCCATTTGACATAGAACGATGCAGAGCTGCAACAATTAAACTAGTAAAACTCAGTGTCACTTTCATTTCTGTGACAACAGATGGGCGTGAAGGAGGAATCATCTCTGCTGGCAAGCATGCTTACTTTTCAGGACCTAATCTATGCTCTTGACAGCGAGTGGATTTTATCGGGCCTTGGGCACAACTATGGGATTAGTATTCAAAGCATAAAGAAAGCTGCGGTGTTGCACTATAATGGAAATATGAAACCCTGGCTTGAGCTGGGAATTCCGAAATATAAGGTGTTCTGGAGGAAGTTTCTAAACCGCGAAAATCATTTTCTGAATGAATGCAATGTAAATCCATAATGAGCCAGAGATGGAATTGACACTTCGAATCCTTGGAAAATTCGAGGGCTCAAGGACCTAAATGGTGAGAATTCTGACACCGACCTAGATTTTTGAAGGGTATTAGATGGCAACAAAAATTGTAGCTGCGATGACCTCAACGGGTGCATATATGTGTATGTGTTCTGAAATTTTTTCAGTAAATAAAAAAAAATGGAACTTCAAACCCTCTGGGGGTGGCTGAATCTGCTAGGGGAAGATGGATTTGGGGTATTGAAGTGATTGTTCAAGAATACACACAGATAGAGTGAGCTTTCATTATCTTCTTCCGTCTAGTTTTGTGAATTAACATACGTAGAGAAGGGGTCCGATTTGCATCTGTTCCAAGGGTTTTCAATTTCAATGGCCATTCCCAGTTCAAGAAAATGCATGCATCCATGGTTGTTGGTGTCAACCGAATGTGGTATTACTATCATGCCCTTCAATTTTTTTTTGGATTTTACTATTTCATTATTATTATTTTTTGTCTATCTCACTAACTTTTCATCCAATTAGAGAACATTATACATTTAAACGTACTTGATTTTACGGTTTCTAGGTTCTTGCAATAGTAACAGTACCGACTGATCTAGCACTCGGTAACTGTTGCACTTGTTTGGTTACCACGTATGCAATGATATTTGTAAGTGAAGACAGGAGAAATGGGTAAAATGGTACTTTTGAATTTTGGCAAACACATGGTTGTCGTTTTGCCACACATAGTATCATGTTCTAAATGTGTCTTCCGGTTTATAGATGGAAAGGTTGAAACAGCAATAAGTGGGCTAGTGAGACTTGTCATGCAGATAATAGTCAAAAGGGTGCCATAATTGGGAACTACAAGTTAAGAGAATGTGTGCACATGTTTCCCTGCCCTTATCTTAATAAAACTTTTTACATCTTCCCTCATGTGTCAATTGTCTAACCTGTGGATCTTACTCACTTGACACGATTATGGCTAAAATTGTCGTTTCTTTTTGAACTTCTTGATTGTTACTGGTTTGACAATTGACAATTGAACTTGTTTTTAAGCCAAAGCGAGTGGGTTAGAACATTTGACAACCTTACTGTTTTCTACACCTTTTCTAAATAAGAAAACAAGGTTGAAACTCCCATCTTCATTTATTTAGTGGTTGTCATGTTGCATTCCATTTCTATATCATGAAATGATGAATCATAGGATCAATACTCGAATGGTAAAAAAATTTGATTTTTTAATGAAAATAATAGAATCCTGTAATGAATGAAATAAAATTCAACTTCTTTTTTGAAGAACGAAATGTCGAAAATAGATGCTTCATCGTTGCATGTTGAATGGTGTAGGGGAAGCCTCATATGTTACTACGTTCACCAATAGCTTGAAAGTAGTTGGGGCCGAACTGAGTCGAGTTCGAGTATTGTTGAGCTTGACTCGACTCGAAAATTCTAAAATGGAGTTTGACTCGGTTCAAAAATTTGAAAGCTCAAATCGAACATGAAATCATGAATTGAAGTTCGAAAAAGCTCGTCAAAACTCAAAATAAAAAAAAATATTGAATTTAACTCTTTGAAACATAAAATCAAATTCGACCTTGAATCTTAAGTACATGAAATCTTTTTATTATATATATATTTTTTAAAATAAACACGTGTTAATATTATTAATAATTTAATTTTTTAAAATAAAATTTTCATATATAATTTTTTTGAGTTATTCTTGAGCTTTTCGAGTTAAGTAGTTCATTTTGGCTCAATAGAAATTCGAGTCGAATATTTATCAAATGTTAACCGAATAAATCTCGAATAGCTCACAATCTGTCTCATTTCATTTACAAAGTTAGAAACCAATACTAATTACTAAACAAAACAAATAATGACCTTTCTGATTCATTTAGCAAAAGAGAAAAACCATATGTTAATCTCACAATAATAATACAAAATGTGAAACGTAAATGGGCAATGGGCACAACAGAGTGGGATCCCTTGAAGCATAAGCACCATTTCCTCAACAAGTCAAAGGCATACAAATATATGGCCAAAGAGCAGAGCAAATTAAGAAGAAACATAGAGAAAAAAAGAGAGGAGAAAACAAGCTAGCGGAGTAGAGTCGTGGCGGCGGCGGCGGCGGTGGCGGTGGCATGAATGGGTCTCCAGGCAGAAGCGGTAAGCAAGCAAAGGTCTTTCCAGCCGAGCTTGAGTGCACCTTTGTCTTCAACCAGGGTGTAACCGTCGGAGGGGAACATTCCCAAGAGCAACGTGGCCTGCGTGGCGGCGTTACCAGCGAGGGAGATGGGCTTGAACCCGGACTGCTGCAGCTTCTCCCTCCAGTTATGGAACTTGACCTCCTCGCTGGTCCTGGAAGGGCCGCCGAGAGCGAGCACGTTTCGTATCTCTTTCGAGAGTAGCTGCTGCTCCACCACATGCCGCTCCTCGCTCTCCTCGCCGTAGCTAGCTCCGAGTGAATCGAACAGGGCGGAGTAGTAGTGTATGGCTTCCACAAACCTTCCCAGAAATGAACCGCCGTGGCTCAAGTCTTGTTCTACTACCGTCACTACTTTGGGTGCCAATCTGAATCCCAAACACACGTTTTACATTATTCATACCAACACAACAGCACCTGTTAGGCCATATACTATTACAATACTCTCTCTCTATATATATTAGGATCACCTACGTACAGATAACTAAAATTTCAAATCACTAAATTAAGAACTTAATAACAATATTTATGTTAAATCACAAATCTTTAGTTTTAATCAAATTATGCCATTTTAACTTCTATTATTATTAGATTAAGCCATTGAGCTACACTAATTTCACTGCATGATTTTAGTGTTACACATTACGTAATAAATCTGTCATCTATTGAAGGTAGTGAAACTAGAAACCATCTTTTTGCTGAATGCAAAGTTTCTTCTTCAATCTGGAATTCCATTCTTCTGCTGTCTGGCATCAGAAAACCTCCATTCTCTTGGTCCAGTCTTATGGTTTGGGTGACAGCGAAATGAAAGGGAAAATCTTTAATTACTGTCATTCTTAAACTGTCGTGGTGTGCATTCATTTTTGCCATTTGGGAAGAAAGGGATCGTAGGACTTTCAGAGGGATTAGCGGATCAGAGGATGATATAGTTCAATCTATTAAGCAGACTATAAATCTTTATCTAAGCAATAGATCTATCAATAGATTAGATAACACTAATTTATTTCTTTGTAATCAATGGGGTATAGCTTGATTTTTGTTGTATAGGTTCCCCTCTTTTGTTCCTTTCATTGGATTGTTTTTGTATTAAGTTTCTGCTTTCTTGGATAATAAACCTTACTTATCCAAAAAAAAAAAATCTGTCATCTATTTATGAGTAGAAAATTTTAAATACGAAAAATCTCCTTTAATATATAAATAACAGAAGTCCAATGGTACTAAAAGCTTGCAACTTATGCTAAATTATATACGAAACAGCCCTTGAAACCACAGATATTTGGTCACAGGGACAGGCCAGTTATATGCTTCAGAAGACGACATGAATGTGTGTATGCATGATCATCCTGCCTTAATGTATGTGTATAATCGTAATGAATATGCATTAATCGTGTTCAAATCGAAATTTTGAATATAAATCGTGAAATGTTAATCACCTCTGAAGCAGCCACAATACATTGGTATCGGAACCGGTGATGTCGTAAAGCGAGTGCTGCAACCAGTGAACCGCCACCGCCTCCGTCTTGCCGACGTTGAGACTGTCAGGCTCGATGTTCCCCACCTTGTCAGCCACCGGGAAAAATTCGAAAGGAATCCCCAGTTTGTCTGCAAAATCAGTTAAACGTTTACCGGTGGTTTCCAGGGCCTCTAAGGAGGTTCCGAGCCCCGTGAGGCGGACGTGCGGTGGTCCGCCGTGTCTGGAAGCGAGAATGTGAAACAGTCCAGGCCATTGCAAGCCTTGCATTATGTCAAGATCTATAATGTGCACTCTCTCCTCCCTCTCGAACGCTTCTTGTATGGCTTGATTTGCTGTGAAATGGGAGAACTTGACGAATGGACTTATCCCATTGAACACCTGAAAAGCCGACACCAGTTTTTGAGTATGGCTCGCCGGAAAAGAAGGATATCCGCTGCATATTCCCAAGCAAGAGCTGACGAGCCTCGCCGAGATAGCCTCCGAAAAATACGCCGCCACGCGCTGAGCCGACGTTCCGAACGGCGTCGACAGCTGCGAGAGCTCTAACAGCATCCTATTTGCATCCTCCAAGTTATTAGCCGAAACCGCCTCGGCGCATTGGAGTAGCAATTTCAAGAGGTGCAACCCTTCTTCATCTCTCTTCTGTTGCCGGAGCTCCTCTTTCCGGTCTCTACCGCCACATGCTTGGACTGCTTGAACGGTGGAAGCCGGTTTCGCCGTCGAAGTCGTTGTCTTCTCGACCGGTGAAGCTTTTTCTTGTACCAACGGCTGCTCCTCGGCGAGCTGGTGTTGGTTTAACGATGGAACCGGCGGTGTAGTCGTCGCCGAAGGGCTACTGCTAATCTGATTGTTAGAAGAGATCAGAAGTGGTGTTATTTCCCAACTGAAGTATTGACTCATGTCACCGGAATCTATGGCGGAGTCCATGTTAAGCGTCAACCCAGATGAGCCTTGTTGTTGACCATGCTGGCTCGGCAACGTCACCTCCTGCAGATGCAATGACGGCGCCTCCTTTCTTCGCCTTTCAAGTGGATCCATTAAAGAACGGAGCCTGTATTCAAGTAAAGCAGCGAGGTTCGGATTGCAAGGGTAAATAATCTCCCGCACGTTGTGAATAAGCTGAGGAACGGAAACATTAGCCGAGATGTGGATAAGGTCCCGTATAACGCCGTCTATCCACGCCGTCGCCGAATTATCATCCATAGAATTCGAGATCGGAGTTAAAGAAGCAGGGACGGTATTATTCGCCGACGTGACGGTTACCACGGTGGAGGAAATGTTGGCGTTTCCGTTTCGATTCCTGTCCGTTGGTGGAAACAAAGGCAAACCCGAGAACCCACACACGGCGGGATGCTGAGGACTAGGGGAAGAGACGGTGTCGATAACAGCAGAAAAATTCGAGGCCTTCGAAGATAAAAGAGCAGGTGGCCCGGCTGACGTCAAGGCTGAGAAATTCGTACAATTGATAACAGCACTACTATTATTATCCATATTAGTGGAGTAGTTGAAGGGTGGATTAGGGTTATTACTAGCCGCCATGAAAGAGCACACCATGTTGCTATCGGAAGAACCAAGATTGCTCCGGCGAGGAAACCTCTGGCAATCGGCAATCTCAGAAGCCATTCTCTTCCTCATGGTGCCGCTTCTCACTGGGTTTTCTTCGATGCTGCTGCTGTTAATATTGTTCCTTCTTCCTCTTCCATTCTCACCTACCAAATCACAAGCTGCCATTAACAACAACAAAATCACTCTTCAATCCTCATCTAAACAAAACCAGACAGAGCTCTACTGCAACAAGTACGATTATATATATATCGATGATAACAACAATCCAAGCAGAAAATGGTACGAGAACAAGGACAGCAGCTTTGGGATTCCTCTAAACTCAGGGCTAAACAAGATAGCTAGCGCGACATCTCATGGAAGAGGCTAAACTCTCGAGATAACGTTATCGAACAAATTATTTCACGAGATAATGCTCTTCCAAGATTAATTGCTCAAATATGGTGAAATCTACAGTGTTGACCCGTAGGTCGTCATGCTATTCGGGCGACCTACTAGGTCGCCATGTCTTTCCGGCGAGATATGAGAGAGATTGCATGTGCCATGCACGTTCCAACACGCTGGGCATCCGAGGGCATCCGACCGAGACTATCCGAGCGAGCTATGCGAGGGCATCCGAGGGCAAGAGGAATCACACGAGGAAGAGGAAGTGCATGGCGACCTATAAGGTCGCCCGGATTACATGGCGACCTACAAGGTCGCCCGGAGGGCATGGCGACCTATGCTTGGGGACGTGCATGGCTGGCCACGTAATAGGTCGCTCGGAAGGCATGGCGACCTACGGCCTCGAGAGTTTAGCCCATGGAAGATGAATACTTTAATGCATGGGAACGCCGTTGGAGAAAAAGAACTGGAGAAATCAAGTATGGAGGGTTTGAAGAAGAAGGAGAATGGTTCGTGGGGGATGGGTGCATGAATTTATTGTCACTTCCAAAATATATAAGCAATTATTGTTATCATTCAATTACTAACATTTATGTTATTACCTAAAATAAAAATACTCACATTTATATAGGTGGGTATGACAATATATAAACTATATTTAATAAAAATACTCATTAAATTATCATAATGATTAAAGAAAATATTATTCTCCTTTAAGATATTGAGTTTGAGCAAATTACGTTGGTAGGATATATATATATATATGTGTTGTTAATGATTAAATAGTATTCTGAACAGATAATACCTTAATCACATAGAGTATTCAAAAAAATAATTGATATTGTATTGGTATAAGTTGATATAAATAATTTTAAGGGTAAATAACACATGTGGTATATAAACTATCGGTTTTAGTCGTTTTAATACTTAAACTTTTATTTTTTTTAAATCATACCTAAAGTTTAGTTTTAGTTTCATTTTAGTACATCGTCGTTAAAAAATTTAGTTTTTGTTTCATTTTAGTATCACATTCCATTTAACGTTAAGTTTTGAAATTTTAAAGTTCATGTACTAAAACGAATCAAAACTAATAGTTTAGGTACTAAAAGTGTTAAGTTTCTAATGACGGGTAGTAAAATGAAATGAAAACTAAACGTTAGGTATGGTTTTGAAAAAAATTAAAAGTTTAAGTATTAAAATGAACTAAAAGTGATAGTTTAGATACTAAATGTGTGTAGTTTAGCTTAATTTTAATTTATTCTTATTAAAATTTCAGTATATGAACTCAAACGATTTTAATGAAGAGATGGTTTTTTTTTTCTTTTGAGATTTTAAAGATTTTAGAATCGAACACTTATATCTGTAAAGTTTATGTTATAAACTATAAAAAAATTCTTAAGTGATTAATACGAAACGTATATAAAAAATATTTAAGTGATCAATAAGAGTATATCTTTTAATTTAATTTAAAGATTTGAACTACATTGTTGACCAGTGTTTTGAAAACTGGATCGGATCGGCTGGTTCAACCGGGAACTGTTGTCTGGTCCGGTTCATTGTAATACGATTAAACTGCTACTACTGAACCGGACAGAATCGTTGAACCGTTCGAACCGGACCGGACTGTGAACCAATTGAAAACCGGTTGAACCGCCAATTTTTTTTTTTTAAATTAAACCAAACAACATCGTTTGTTAAACGAGCCGAGTCGAGCTCGAGTATTGCTAAGCTCGACTCGAACTTGAAAACTTTAAAAGTAAGCTCAACTCGACTCAAACTCACGAGCTAAAAATTATCAAGTTCAACTAGATCTCGAAATATAATATAAAAACTTGAACTCGAAAAGGCTCGAACTCAAAAAAAAAAATTAGAAGCTCGACTGAAGCCTAAAATTCGAGCTTGATTGAAGTGAAAAAATAATTAACTCTATGCTCACCAAAAGGCTTCATGATTTTGAATGCCAAATTACCTCTATTATTTATAGAAGTTAGTTGTGATGCCCTTCTATGTTTCTTAGCCATGTGGGATTGTTTTGTTCTCATATTTTTACTCTTTAAACTTTTGAGATGCTCTTCTATGTTTCTTAGCCATGTGAGATTGTTTTTAAAAAAAAATTAAACCAAACAATATCATTTTGTTATGATTTTTTAGCCCCAATTTTATTTTTTAATTATAGTTATATAATTATATTTATTATTTAATATGTTTTACCTTAAATATTATGTTGTAGTTAATTTGAATAATTTTGTTTCACTTGATTTTATGGTTTTAACTTATATATGTTATGACTTGCTTTGAATATGACTTGTGATATAAAAAATTATTTTTATTCAATATTTTTGGTATTTTTATTTAATTTTTAAAAATAATTATGACGTCATCAGATTCTTCCGACCAGTCAGACCAGTTCGACCAGTTAAACCAATGAACCGATAGTATAACCGGTTCACTAACCGATCCGGTTCTGAAAACCATGTTGTTGACAATGTGAGGTGTGAATGTGCGGTGGTATCGTGTTTATATAAAAATCAATATATTTTATATATTTTTAGGTTTTTATCGATTTTAAATAAAATAATTAAATACTTATAAATGATAGCCTACAAGGATGAAGAGCACTCGATTATGACCTAATTGTTTGAATTTGACCGAGTTGGTTGACTTATGAATCTCTTAATCAAACTAATTAATTTAATTAATTTTTTAGAAAGGCTATATATAATTAGCATTTTTATTTCATAATTAAAAAATAATTTAAATAAGTTTTATTTTTACATTCAACAGGTTTAAAAACATATGTCTAAGAGAGTAAGACTTTTTTTTTAATTAATTGAAAATATTGCATTCAACAGGTTTGAAAATCAATTCTTAACGTCTTTCTTTATATTCGAGATTAAAACCTTTTTTATATAAAATATATTAAAATAAATGTATAATAATAAAATTACCCCAACATTCGTATAAATAATCACTTTATCCCTTATTCTTTTTTAGAACATTTTATTTTAGAGTAAAATGTCCCCTAAGTGGATAAAAATCATTAGTTGACTAACAGTCAACACTTCCTGTTGATGTGGCATGTCAATGTGTGATGTCACGTCATCAAAAAATATTTTAAAATTATTTTTAAATATATATAGTTTACTCTTAAAATAAATTTTTTGCTACTGTCGGGGTTGGTTCAAGTGGTAAGCAACTTGATATCGCTTAAGTAAGGTCTCGAGTTTGAGTTTTTGTGTATGCAGAAAATCTCTGCTGGGAGAATCACCCAGTAAAACCAGATGTGTAACACGGGTCGATCCGGATTAGTTAAGGCAAAACCTTGGAGCTGAAAGGGCAACAAATAATAATAATAACTTTTTGCTGAAGTGGTATCACAGGTAGACTTACCACGTCCGTATGAAATATTGACAGTTAGTTAACTAACAATTTTCATCAAACCACGGGATATTTGCTCCAAAATAAAACATTGATGACTAAAATAATCTAAAAATGATAAAGAATAGAGTGACAATTTGTATAAACGTAGGAAATAATTTTGTTATTACACTAAAATAATATCATAGTTCAAAAGATTTAGATCTGAGATCAAACTAATTAGATTTTTTTGATCTAACCATAAAAATAAAAATAATTTAAAAACTCATAAAAAAGAAAAAAAAAATCCCTATGAAAATAGACTACTATCATTATCATACATGAAAATGAAATATAGATGGATTGTGGAATTTAATAATATAGTTTATGATCTGCTTAGTAGGGATACTTTATTGGTTGGTTTTGCAAATGTATAGTACGTATGTTGGATCCCTTTCATTCCATCTCTTATATTTTAATATTTAATATTAAAATTAAGTGCATTTATAAAATTAAAATATATTTTATAAATTCTCTTGGAAGCAAGAAATTATAATTAAAAATAGGGTAAATTATGCATTTAATATCTAAATTATCAGTTTTTTGGTCGTTTTAGTACATAAACTTTCAATTTTTTCAAAATCATATTTAATGTTAAGTTTTGGTTTCATTTTAATAACCCATCGTTAAAAACAAGTTTTTTCAAAACTTTTTACTAATTTATTTTAAAAATAAGATTATCAAAATGAAACAAAAATTAAACTTGCGATTTTAAAAATAATATTATCAAAAGAAGTAATCATAAATCTCGAATATAAATTATAAAATAAACATAAAATGTAAGAAACTAATTTGCTAATTTATTTTTTGCTATACCACTAAATTCTTTTTCAATTTACAAAACCAAGGTACAATTTTGTATGTATAATCCATTAATAGATACAAATAGTCAACGGAACTTTACACATTGGAAAGTTGCAAAATTACTGTAGGGTAGACTATCATTTTTTTTATTTCCCTTCCTGGCCATAATTATTGGCAAAATTCAGTCTGGACTCCTCCTAATCTTTTTAAATTTAATTGTTTGCTAGGTTTTCTTAGTTTTAAAATGAGAGAAATTAAACTTGACTCTCCAGTTTTTGGTTCAATTATTTTTAAGTCCCTCTTATCATAACCCATACCCAATTTCCATTTCCGGATACTTCTTAAATCTCTATCAATTTTAAAATAAAAAATTATAACATAACACCCTAATTTTTCAATTTTATATCACTTCGTTATTTAATAATTAGATTATGACCCTCGTTTTATTACTATTTATATTTGCTCTCCTTAAAGCTTCATCCTGACTTTGTCCGTGAATGAAAGAGCTGAGGCCACTCAGACCTCATTGAATTTTTGAATGATAACGACAATATTTCTCAAAC